CAGTAGATCCGGTGCTGCTGCTGCCGCCAGATCCAGCTCTTTCTACCTGCCATGCCTCGCCTTTCTCCTTTAGGGGAGCACTGAGTGTGGAATCGGGTGGAAGGAAAGTGTCTCTTGGTTCCTCATTCTCGCCCCGTGAAGCGCTGCCTCGCCACCAGGTGGGGAGGGAGACAAGGTAGGTAGGTAGGTAGGTAAGTAGGTAGGTAGGTAGGTAGATAGGTAGGTAAGATATCATCACCTCAGGGAGGGGGGCGATGATAACTTCCTCAATGGCTCAAGGGGGCGTTTCTTTCAAAAAGATTAAGAACCACTGCTCTGGGCCATGGGGCCACGAAGAGTTGGACACGACTAAATGACTAAACAACAACAATATATATTCAGATTGCTTGCTATGCTCTTGTGTATTCTGCTGGGTTTTTAAAAATTTTCTCCCATTTCATAACTTTGAGAATGCTTTTTTGTTTTCAAGAATTATGGGAGTGGGATAGTGATTTAAATAGTGTGCTACAGCCCTCTTCATTCTGCTGTGTTATTTTTATTATTACTGTATTTTCTTCCATTTTGGTGAAATTGTTAAATGTTGTGTTAGTGCATTTGGTCACTTTCATCTGCCTTTTCTTTTTGTCAACTGCTTTATGTTTCAAACATGGGAGTGCAATTTAAATGTTTTGAACTAACTAATAAATACTGTACTAAGAAAAGTAAATATCCTAAGAGTCTGGAACCAAGAACCAGGGGAGAGACCTGTTTATCGTATCTTCTGTAAAATAAACAAGTATTTATTCTCATGTGGAATAAAACAAACTATATTATTATACACAGATGTAGCAATTAATCTGTTTGCCATTTTTCTAAGATGCTAGAAACATTGATGAAGCATAGCATTTTCTCCTTTTCTACAATACAGTACATCAAAGCTACTGTAACTTGGCATAGAAAATACTAATAACTGTGAATGCCATGAATTCTATTATGCATGATGGAGTATCTTTAAGTAAGTAAACTAGGAGCAGCTATCTATAGATAGCCTTTGATAAAGTTGTTACTAAGTCTTCATTATGGGTGCATTCTGTACTGATTGCAGAGAGAAACTATGGAAGGAGCCAAGGGAGATGGAGGAGTGAAAACTCATCAGGAGCTACCTTTTTATTTCTCTGCCTGCTGCAGATGAAAGGGTTGTTCTGACTTATCAGCCAGCATGGAAATAGAGTAAGGCACTGGATCTGTCCTTCTCTACCATGCTCAGCTGCTTCTACAGCCAGCATGCCATGAGGACTTCCTTTCTGATGGGGAAAAAAGAGGGTAGCTTTGAAGGAGAGAGACCACAGGTTGGATCTGCTTTTGAGTACCAGGGACTTGATCCAGCTCACAGTTCTTGTCAGTTACGAGTTTCTTTCATCTTTTAAAGATTAAAACCACAATCCAGCTATAGCCATGCTTTTTTCTTGCAACTAAGAGCTTTTGAATATAATGTGCATAACATGTGCACAAAATATATTAATTTGATGGTCTATGGAGATCAGGAAACACTGCTTTGAGATGAGATGATGAAAAGGGGTGTGTATTTAACTACCACACATGTTGCAGCTCTCACTCATAATCCAAACTGAGTTTGGATGCACATTCTCATGAGCAGATGCATCATATGCATTCATGCTAGTCTCTCTAGCTGGACTGGGCTATACATGCATTAAGTGACCAACTTTTTATAAAGGTAGATTACATTTAGAATAATTTAAACTAACAATACCCTTCATCCATAAATTGAGCTTCAGTGAATTCAATGCCTCTGAAATATGTCTTCATAGTAGGTACCTGTCCCAGATTTGAGAACTGCTTGCTAAGTGCCCTAGAATACTGTTTACAAATAAATAAATAAATAAATAAGTTACATAAATACATATAATCAGTTGCATATTTTAAAAATCTACGTATGTTTTAAAGTATCATCTTTGGAACATCTCTTTTCATATCAAAAATTCTATTTTAAAATAGGTACTTCCTATGAGAAAACCATGACTAATAAAGCATAAATATTTTAAAAATACCGTGTTTCCCCAAAAATAAGACCGGGTCTTATATTAATTTTTACTCCAAAAACATATTGGGGCTTATTTTCAGGGGATTCTTTTATGTACAAAAATTTACATTTATTCAAATATAGTCATGTCTTCATCTTCTAGTTGCTGCACAATGGTGGAGGGTGGGGTTTTACTTAACCATGGCTTATTTTGGGGGTAGGCTTATATTATGAGCATCCTGAAAAATCATACTAGGGCTCATTTTCAGGTTAGGTCTTATTTTGGTGGAAACAGTGTAGTTGTTATTTTCTTTTCAGGTAATCCTTCCTCTTGCCAAGAATTAACACATTTGGCTGGAAAATAATTGGAGAGCCATGTGGGATCGAGAGTTTAGACTTAGTGATCAACTAAACTGTTGGTAAAAACAATTAATAAACAGAAATAGAATACGTTGATGAATTTATTCATTTTCCTTTTCCACCATGCCAGATGACAAATTACTCTGAAACTTGCCTTACATAGGTCAAAGCCTAGTTGCTTAGCATAGTAAATTACACTTGAATAGGTCTATTCAATCTATGGCGATTTAGGGGGTCAACTTTTCCATATGTTCCACTGATTTAAATGGACCTGCTCTAACTGTAGATGTTGGGAAAGTGTGAAGGCAAGAGGAGAAGGGAAAGACAGAGTACGAGATGGCTGGACAGTGTCATCGAAGCTACCAACATGAATTTTACCCAACTCTGGGAGGCAGTGGAAGTCAGGAGGGCCTGGCGTGCTCTGGTCTATGGGGTCACGAAGAGTCGGACACGACTTAACGACTAAACAACAACCACTCTGTGACTTACTATGTTAAAGTAAGTCAGAGATGGAGTAGGCCTATTTAAATTAGTGAAACAGAAAAGTTGACTAATCAAATTCCCTTTGTTTCAATGTGCCAACTCTAATGTGATTTAGGACCCACCTGTTTGTTTTTCTTATAATCCATGATAGCCACAAAGCCCACCTCCAGCACTATATTTCAAATGAGTATTTTTTTCCTGTCAGCTTTCTTCACTGTCCAGCTTTCACACTCATACATGGTGATTGGAAATACCAGAGTGTGGATGATCTTGGTCTTGGTCTCCAGTGACACATCCTTACGCTTGATTAACTCTTCTAGTTCCTTCATTGCTGCCCTTCCTATTCCCAGTCCTTCTGATTTCTTGGCTTCAATCTCCATTAGGACTGATGATTGAACCAAGGTATACGAATTCTCTAGCTGTTTCATTTTATTTATTTATTTATTTATTTATTTATTTATTTATTTATTTATTTATTTATTTATTTATTTATTTATTTATTTAATAAAATAATATTTAATTTCATGTCTTCATTGTCAAAATTAAAGTTGTGTAGTTCTTCTGTAGTCATGATTTTTGTCTTCTTCATATTTAGGACAAAGCTAGACTATATGTATACCCTTGCCCACTTTGTTGCTTCAGTCTTCCTTGTTATCAATGGAAACTGAACAGGCCTTCCACAGGCCGTACAGTACTTTCACTGCTAAGGATGTCCAGTGTCTCAGTTCCATCTGGGACAGTGAGAGAGCCTTTGCCTTTGAATTCTCATTGGGATCAGGATTGGGATTTTGATCTTCACCATTTTTGAGAATACTTCATTTTTGGACTGTTCCTGAGCATCCGAAGAGGTGTGGGATCCCTACTCCCATTATCACCTAATCAGTGCCAAATAGAGGAGAACTAGTACAGGATTTGGGGACTTTTTGTTTTCAGCCCAGGGTTCAAGCCTATCTAGATCATTTTGAATTTTGTTTTTGTCTTCCAGGGTATTAACTATTCTAGCCAATTTAGTGTTATCTGCAAATTTGATTAGCATTCCCTGCACCACCTGATCTAGTCAGAAGACAGCTGATATTATGAAGCTTAATTTGGTCCATTACCTCCTTTAATTCCTACCAAGTTTAATTTCGGGGGCATCCAAGGCCATTCTCAATCCTTCACAGGCAGCAGGGTGCTGTAAAGTGGCAAACTACACAGCTCCTCCTCCTGAAAGTCACTTGCTATAGGTGCTGCTCTGGAAAGCCCTGCAGTCCAGAGCTGGCTCTATTCAATATGTGGAAAACACTACTGGTCGCTTTGTGGTAGCAAGAAAAGGTGTAGGGAGGGAGGCAGCCACGATGACACTGTTCCAGGTGGAGAGAGAGACCTTTTCCTCTCACCTTGAATAGCAGGAAAGGTCAGGCCACCATTGGCAGTATCCAATGTGTTTCATAAATGTCATTTAATAAGAATAATGATATAAAAATGATTTTAAAATTATATAAAATTATTAACTATGCTCCCTGCAATGTCATAAACACAGAAAACTGATATGGTGTAAATTTGCACTACAATTAACCCCCATTTCATCTAGCATTGATACTACTACTTTTAAGATTCATCTTTTCGAAGTACTTGTAAACAATCTGTGTGTCTATGCTGGATCCAATGCTCCTATAAGCGCCTGCTTGTCCAAAGTTCTTCATTTATTTCCTCTTTAACTATTTGGTTTCACTGTAGCAACCAGGATAGTAATGTTGTACCATGTTACCTCCCCTTCATGGATTTCTGCCTTGTCGTGGCGAAGGGGCTTGAGTAACTCAGAGAAGCTATGGGCTATGCCGTGCAGGGACACCCAAGACGGACAGGACATAGTGGAGAGTTCCGACTAAACGCAATCCACCTGGAGTAGGAAATGGCAAGCCACTCCAGTATCTTTGCCAAGAACGCCCCATGATCAGAAACAAAAGGCTAAAAGATATGACGCTGGAAGATGGGCCCCTCAGGTCGGAAGGCGTCCAACATGCTACTGAGGAAGAGCGGAGGACAAGTACAAGTAGCTCCAGAGCTAATGAAGTGATTGGGCCAAAGCCGAAAGGACTCCTGTGGACATGCCTGGAAGTGAAAGGAAAGTCCAATGCTGCAAAGAAAAATACTGCATAGGAACCTGGAATGTAAGATCTATGAACATTGGGAAGCTGGAGGTGGTCAAACAGGAGATGGCAAGAATAAACATCGATATACTGGGCATCAGCGAACTAAAATGGACAGGAATGGGCGAATTGAGCTCAGATGATTATCATATCTACTATTGTGGGCAAGAATCCCGTAGAAGGAATGGAGTAGCCTTCATAGTCAACAAAAGAGTGGGAAAAGCTGTAATGGGATACAATCTCAAAAATGATAGAATGATGCCAATACGAATCCAAGGCAGACCATTCAACATCACAATAATCCAAGTTTATGCACCAACCAGCATTGCTGAGGAGACTAAAATTGAACAATTCTATGAAGATTTACAACACCTTATAGAACTGACACCAAAGAAAGATGTTCTTCTCATTCTAGGGGACTGGAATGCTAAAGTAGGGAGCCAAGAGATAAAAGGAACAACAGGGAAGTTTGGCCTTGGAGTTCAGAACGAAGCAGGACAAAGACTAATAGAGTTTTGTCAAGAGAATAAGCTGGTCATCACAAACACTCTTTTCCAACAACACAAGAGGCGACTCTACACATGGAAATCACCAGATGGGCAATATCGAAATCAGATTGATTATATTCTCTGCAGCCAAAGATGGAGAAGCTCTATACAGTCAGCAAAAACAAGACCTGGAGCTGACTGCGGTTCTGATCATCAGCTTCTCATAGCAAAATTCAAGCTTAGACTGAAGAGAGTAGGAAAAACCACTGGGCCACTCAGGTATAATCTAAACCAAATCCCTTATGAATACACAGTGGAAGTAAAGAACAGATTTAAGGAACTAGATTTGGTGGACAGAGTGCCTGAAGAACTTTGGATAGAGGCTCGTAACATTGTCCAAGAGGCAGCAACGAAAACCATCCCAAAGAAAAGGAAATGCAAGAAAGCAAAGTGGCTGTCCAACGAGGCCTTAGAAATAGCAGAGAGGAGAAGGGAAGCAAAATGCAAGGGAGATAGGGAAAGTTACAGAAAATTGAATGCAGACTTCCAAAGAATAGCAAGGAGAGACAAGAGGGCCTTCTTAAATGAACAATGCAAAGAAATAGAGGAAGATAACAGAAAAGGAAAGACCAGAGAGCTCTTCAGGAAAATTGGAGATATTAGAGGAACATTTTGCGCAAAGATGAACATGATAAAAGACAAAAATGGGAAGGACCTAACAGAAGCAGAAGACGTCAAGAAGAGGTGGCAAGAATACACAGAGGAATTATATCAGAAAGATGTGGATATCCCGGACAACCCAGACAATGTAGTTGCTGACCTTGAGCCAGACATCCTGGAGAGCGAAGTCAAGTGGGCCTTAGAAAGCCTGGCTAACAACAAGGCCAGTGGAGGTGATGGCATTCCAATTGAACTATTTAAAATCTTGAAAGATGATGCTGTTAAGGTGCTACATTCAATATGCCAGCAAGTTTGGAAAACTCAACAGTGGCCAGAGGATTGGAAAAGATCAGTCTACATCCCAATCCCAAAGAAAGGCAGTGCCAAAGAATGCTCCAACTACCGTACAATTGCACTCATTTCACACGCTAGCAAGGTTATGCTCAAAATCCTACAAGGTAGGCTTCAGCAGTATGTGGACCGAGAACTCCCAGAAGTACAAGCTGGATTCCGAAGAGGCAGAGGAACTCGAGACCAAATTGCTAACTTGCGCTGGATTATGGAGAAAGCCAGAGAGTTCCAGAAAAATATCTACTTCTGCTTCATTGACTATGCAAAAGCCTTTGACTGTGTGGACCACAGCAAACTATGGCAAGTTCTTAAAGAAATGGGAGTGCCTGACCACCTTATCCATCTCCTGAGAAACCTATATGTGGGACAGGAAGCAACAGTTAGAACTGGTCATGGAACAACTGAGTGGTTCAAAATTGGGAAAGGAGTACGGCAAGGCTGTATATTGTCCCCCAGCTTATTTAACTTATATGCAGAATACATCATGCGGAAGGCTGGACTGGAAGAAACCCAAGCCGGAATTAAGATTGCCGGAAGAAATATCAACAACCTCCGATATGCAGATGATACCACTCTGATGGCAGAAAGTGAGGAGGAATTAAAGAACCTTGTAATGAGAGTGAAAGAGGAAAGTGCAAAAAACGGTCTGAAACTCAACATCAAAAAAACTAAGATCATGGCCACTGGTCCCATCACCTCCTGGGAAATAGAAGGGGAAGATATGGAGGCAGTGTCAAATTTTATCTTCCTGGGCTCCATGATCACTGCAGATGGAGACAGCAGCCCTGAAATTAAAAGACGCCTTCTTCTTGGGAGGAAAGCGATGACAAATCTTGACAGCATCTTAAAAAGCAGAGACATCACATTGCCAACAAAAGTCCGAATAGTCAAAGCTATGGTTTTTCCTGTTGTGATGTATGGAAGTGAGAGCTGGACCATAAAGAAAGCAGACCGCCGAAGAATTGATGCCTTTGAACTGTGGTGCTGAAGGAGGCTCTTGAGAATCCCCTGGACTGCAAGGAGAACAAACCTATCAGTTCTAAAAGAAATCAACCCTGAGTGCTCACTGGAAGGACAGATCCTGAAGCTGAGGCTCCAGTACTTTGGCCATCTCATGAGAAGAAAAGACTCCTTGGAAAAAACCTTGCTGTTAGGAAAGTGTGACGGCAAGAGGAGAAGGGGACGACCGAGGATGAGATGGCTGGAGAGTGTCTGCGAAGTAACCAACATGAATTTGACACAACTCCGGGAGGCAGTGGAAGATAGGAGGGCCTGGTGTGCTCTGGTCCATGGGGTCACAAAGAGTCGGACACAACTAAACGACTAAACGACGACGACCATGTTACCTGTCTCACTACAGTAGGAATTCAAATGCATCAGAGGCTATGATTTAGTAAATAATGTAATTTTTTTCTCCATTGCACTTTTGTCAGTCGGTGACAAGTTCTGTACAGGGGGATAACTTAATCTTCAATCTGTTCAACTGCATGATTCCATAAATTAAGATAACTTCTTTTAAACAAACATTATTTTGCATTAAAAGCTGTCAGCATGTCTTTCCAACAACAAGCATAATATGGAACAGGCTATTTAAAGACAATATATCAAAATGATAGTGTGGGAACGCACTGCGGGTGGTTTACTTGCAATTTTCTTCACTTCTGAAGAGTCAGCATTTTCTGGATCATAAATCCATACAATTAAATCCTAGCAAATAAAAAAAGAAAAAATGTTAAATTTTTATTCTCTTTTGAAAAACTGCATATTGTTGCTGGGGGAAAAGGGAGTTCATTTTGTTTCACTGACATGCTTTATATAGATGGAATACTCTTTTTCTTGCCAACTGATGTGCCAACAAATGTTTGTTCACAAAGGGGCTTTTTTTCTATTGTATTTTCTCCATCACTAAATAACATTTCTTCTCTTAAGCTGAGAAACAATTGTTCTTACACTAATTGCTGCTGCTTTTAGGAAAGCAGGAATAACAACTGTTGATTGTGAACAAGACAAAACTGGTTTCTCAGTCCACACAGAGGATTAAAATGGCTATATTTTAGCAGAGCCCCTAATCAATGTAGGCAATTAGACAAAAATTTAATATTTTTCTTTCTTCATAAGTTTCTTAAAACTGATTTGTCTATCACACCATCCTTGTAAATGACTAGAAGGTGTATACAATAATCGTTCTATACATTTTCCAGCAACACAGACTAATTTATATTAGACTAATTTATACAGTATTAGTCTGTTGATATATTGGATCATGTGACTTCCTCCCTCTCTCTAGGCAGCAGTGGACAAATCCCATTCTTTGAAGATGTTTTCTTGCACCTGAAAGACCAGATAGGATATAAATAAAATAAAGAAATAAATAAACAAATAAATAAATATTAATTCACCAGGCACTTCAGCCTCAGCTATGCTTGGCTCTTGTTTTTCTACCATGATCTGGAATAAACTGCCTCTGAGGCTGGTGGACTCTACTAGAGTGTTTAAACAGAGGTATTGGCCACTTGTTATGGATGCTTTAACTGTGGATTTCCTACTCTGGCAAAGAGTTTAACTTGACGACTTTTGGTGTCCCTTCAGGTTCTGCAGTTCCATGAACTGTATAGTTAACCTTGAATCAAGGAGGTTGGAAGTTGCCTATTCTTACTCTGAACCATGAAGAAGCTATAGGCTAATATTTCCAGGAGCATGGGGGGCTGTACTCCCCAAGGAACTCAGAGACTCTACCCACCCAACAGCCATGTTTTTTCACATGGCAAAATCTGTGGCAAAAATATTTTGGCCTGAAAATGGCATTTGTTCTTAGAGGCCTTTTTTCCTTTCAAAACTGAAAATAAGAAATCACAGCACAAAACATTCCACAGATACAATAGTTACCTTGGCTAGGTTATGGTGTGTTCTGCAAAGTAAAAATTGACTGTTAATTTTAGTTAGCATGAAAGACCACCAAATATTCTGGGGGGAAAAGCATGTTTTGCTTCAAATATGTTCATAGCATGGTTATACTGCTACTTACACAATTCAGTGGGTATATTTGGAAAGCGCTCTATATGTATTCTTAAAAAATTAGTATTATTAGATTTAACATTAAGAAGAAACTACTGAAGAGATACACGATAACCAACAAAAACTTAATGACAATAAAAAGAGTAGACCATGCAGGGGTTAAGGCAGGGGAGAAAACCAAGACACTGCAGAAAAGGGCTTGTAAACAAGATTGAAGGCAGACTCCAAAATGTCCTATGCTCATTGGATGTTGGGCAAAAATTAACTATTAGGGGCAGGGTAAATTTCCATGGTAATTTAACGCTGAGCCAGGGGGAGAAAGGAGAAACCACATTTTTCTTTTCTTTCCACCAAGAATGCTCCAGAAATTATACTGTCTGATGACACAGTATCATGACCATTGAACCATTCTGTTTGCAGTGAGGTACACAACTGGTTGCTGATTATTATAATTCTGCTGCTGCTTGTGGCAATGGCATCTTTTTTCCTGTAACCCTTGAGTATCTCACAGGACACCATTCTTCTGGGGGGGGGGGTATGTGGGGGGGGGAGAGAATTTAATCATCCTGAGTTTCTCCCTCATGAAATAAATAGAGTTGTTCCTGAGTTCTTTGATTATAAATGGCAGTACAAATATGCGCCTGCTACATTTTTCAGCAAACAAAGCAGATATGTCTGGCCTGTTTAAATATTTTCTATCTGGAATAAAAATCAGAGGAGTTCAGTTTGAAGTAAAAAAACAATAACCCAACTGTACATGATCACACATACTTTTAAAGATATAATATATGAAATCTCCTTACGTGTTCATGCTTGATTGGATAGAATAATCATACCACAAAAAACAGTTCAAATCAACATTGACAGTTAAGTAGCGTTCTTTGTCCTCAAATGTCTACAAAAGAATGTTTTAAAAATCAAGCTAGGTATATTGTATTCTAACAGTAGACAATACTATTTTAGGCTGTAAACTACTGGTTCTCAACCAGTGCCTGGATGCAATAAATGTGGATGTAAGTGTGGGCCAATGAACTGAGTCTGAATTCTGATAAGATGAAAACCTTGAGGGGTGAGTTCTTTCCATGCCCAGAATGGAGGCAGAATCCGTTTGCTCCCAGTGAAGAATTGTGTTCACAGCCTGGGGATGTGTCTCTGAGCCTGTTGTTACACACATGAATTTAATACCTGGAGAGCTTTTTACTACCTTCAGTCTATATGTCAGTTGTGAGAATTCTTGGCCAGGGCAGCTTGGCTACAATGGCCCAGGCACTAGTACCTTCAGGAATATTACAATGTGGGACTGGCTTAGAAGCTGCAGCATGTGTAAAACGTCTGAGCTGGATTTCTATGTTGGAAAACCTGCTAGCAATACATCCCATTTCTGCTGAAGCAGTTGCTCTAACCACTCTCTTGCTATGAGGCTGACCAGATTTAAGGTACTGTTGCTTGTTTCTGAAATTCCAAACAATGGGGAAATAGTTTCCTGAAAAAAATACTTAAATCCCATTTGGTTCTTGTGGCCATCTGGAGAGGCCATGCTGGTAGTGCCACATGCTCCTCAGCTAAACTCTGCAGTCTTTTGCAGCAGGGCACTTAGTATTGTATCAACTACAGTGGTGCCTCACTTAACGATTGCTTCATACAACGAAAAATTCACTTAACGATGGCTTTTTCGGAGTGATCTTGTGCTTCACTTAACGATTTTCCCTATGGGCGATTTTCACTTAACGATTTTGGGACCATGCTTCACTTAACGATGACAGTTTTAGGTCCCCTTGTTCCGCTTAACTTTTTTTTACAGCCCCGTTTTTGCTATTTTTAAAATATTCTAAAATGTTTAAAAATGTTTAAAATGCTTGGAATCGTTAGTGCACCTAATAAAACCTTCGTTAACTTAATTTGGCTTTGTTCTGAGTCTTTTTGAATTTTTTGTGAATTTTTCCCCCCATTGAAATAGACTTCTATGCATTTCAATGGGTTTCGCTTAACTTTTTTTCCTATGGGGATTGTCGCTTAAGGATGGTAATCCGTTCCAATTGGAACGGATTATCCGGTTTTCAATGCATCTCTATGGGAAATGGTGTTTCGCTTAACGATGTTTTCACATAGCGATGTTTTTTTAGGAACCAATTAAAATCGTTAAGCGAGGCACCACTGTACTATGTGGACTATCTCCCCCTCAGAACTTGGACATGCTCCTACAGCCTTTTGTTCTAGAGGCCTGCTGATAACGTTCCTGTTCTTGCAGGCCTTCCCAACATAATCCAACCTACCATGTATTCCTGGGACAACATAAATACTGTAGTGTAATGTAAACAACTTCTTTCTTGCATTTTTTTTAAAAAATGCTTGCACACTGCTTTGAATCTCCATATCTAAGTGGTCTATACAATATTTTAAATAAATAGTAAATAACAAAGTAATTTACTCTTAAGGCTGCCATCCCATACTCAGTAGATAACTCCTATTATTCCTGGTACTTTTTATTGAATAGACACGTGAGCAATTATTGTAAATAATGCTAAACAATCTTTTTAAAAAAAACATATGTAGAGATCAAGGATTACCCATGATGATACTGGATATCAATTTCCCACTTTTTGTTCCAACTGCGCAATCCAGCAAGAAAGTGGGTGTGGTTTTTTTGGGGGGTGGGGTGGGAAATCCTGCAGATGGCTATCACCAAGGCTTAGGTAAATCTCTAGCAGCAGAGTTCTAACACTAACTGCATACAGTGTCTAACGTATTGGCAACACACACACACACACACACACACACACACACACACACACACACACACACACACACTTTGTAAAGATGAGAAATGAGAACTGGGAGAAAGATTCAAAGTGTTTCTGATAGACAAAACCATAAGGAACATTTTCAGCCTTTATGGATGATATTTAAAATGTGATGCGCAATTTAGGATACAATGAGAAAATTAAGCTTCTGCGCTTGGTCCACTGGATTTTAAAACACCCATGAATTTAATTCATAATCTCTCTCTACAAGGCCATGCAGGGGGAGTGTGGCACTGAGGCTGTATGTGGCTCCATAAGGTTGGAGGTGGTGGTTGGTTTTTTTGTTTTTGTTTTGCCCCAAGCTCTATGAGAAATAGGAGAACTGTTGTTCCTGGAAGTTTCCTGCCAAGGAAATTCAACTTTCATTATGCTACAGGCCCCTCCCACAATATTTAACGAACAGCCATTTTCCAAAATTAGAAACAAACATGCAGCTACTTCCACTTTCTCTTTCTTTCTTGGGAGTCTCTGTGGTCTTTGCAGGGTCCCAAGCACAGAAGGGTGGTCTACAGATCTGACAAAGTTACCCAACCCTGCTCTGCCACATACTCCCGACAATTTATTATATATAAGGAGGAAACCATTTTATATATTAAAAGATTCTATGGTGTCTTCCACCAACAAAGACATATCAACAATAAATTAGAAATTATTTTCAAATGCAATTAAACTGTTAAGAACTTACTGGAGTCCGAACTCCTGGCATAATCCTGTGAGTCCCAGCAACTGAACAAATCATTGTTGTTTGAGGTGAGCTAGGGTAATAAAATAAATGAATAGAACACACAGCATGAAGCTATTTAACATGATTTACTTTATTTGAGTCCCAATTACGCACATATGCACACAAATACACTAATTATAAATAGAATAAATACAATACTGCATCAATTATTTTTTGATCTTCAGTCTAGTTTATTGGTTGTTGTTGGGTTTTTCTTTCTTGCTAAACTCTGTTCAAGTGTCTCTTAATATCCTTTCTTCTTTTAGCATATGTGTATTATTTATTTAAGAATTTTCATTACTTTTAACATGAATTAATTGTCAGTGTAGTATAGCAGATAGAGTGATGGACTAGGACTGACGAGGCCTGGATTCAAATCCCCGCTTAGCCACAGAAATTTACTGGGGGAATGGAACTGGTAATTACCTTACTTACTTTGAAAGCCCTTTTAGGGTCACTATGCCGGTTTTGACTTGATGGCACATAAAAACAACAAATAATCTCAGACATATCTACCCAGAGTCTGAAGCAAATCCTACAAGCAAACCAGTGAGGCTTATTCGAAAATAAATGTGTACAGGATTTCCCTCTGAATTTATGTTCTCCTACTGGCGCTGTGGGCTAAACCGCAGAAGCCTGTGCTGCAGGGTCAGAAGACCAGCAGTCATAAGATCGAATCCACGCAACAGAGTGAGCTCCCGTCGCTTGTCCCAGCTCCCGCCAACCTAGCGGTTCGAAAGTATGCAAATGCGAGTAGATAAATAGGGACCACCTCAGTGGGAAGGTATCAGTGTTCCGTGTCTTAAGTCGCACTGGCCATGTGACCATGGAAGATTGTTTTCGGACAAAAACGCTGGCTCTATGGCTTGGAAACGGGGATGAGCAGCGCCCCCTAGAATCGAACACGACTGGACAAAAATTGTCAAGGGGAACCTTTACCTTTACTAAATGTATAAAACCACTAATAGAGTCCTTTTGCACTTAAGCTTTTCTGAATTCTCTTACATGTAAAGGTAATTAACATATGTGAATGTAGATCTGCTGAATATATATATGCACGCACTAGAGCAAAATACTAAGCATAATTTTCAAACCTTGGTTGTTTAAAGGATCAATGTGTGAATGTCTTTCTCCAGATTTCCAATATGTCAGTTTGTTTTCTCTGTGAATGTTTACATAAATGTTTGACTATTCAAGTATTCTATCCACTATATTGTTCAACAGGAATGTTGAGTAACAGAAAAAAGTCCTGAACCTTTCAGCAAATAAATGGATATATACATGTTTATAACAATATTTTCTGAAGACATACAATTAATTCTAAACTTACAAATTCTTCTCACCCTTTGTTCCTCCCCACTGAATTGTGATATACTGTATAAATGTTATTACACATTTTTGCATGCTTTACCTTTTATCTTCAACGGAACATAATATGGGAATATCCCATTGCACAAATGAAGTCCCTTCATACTCTAAATATATCTAGACAAAGAGAAGATAATTTAGGATCACTGGTGATTAGTAAAGTCTAAATATTCTGTTTAAATCTATATATTTGTTCAAAATATACATACCCAGCTCCTTAGCATAAAGACTATCCAAACAACTCATGGCTCAATTTAAAAAAAATACAAACCCTATCCTGATATTTATAAGGTGAAAGACACTACAGAAAAGGAAGAAAGGCTGAAGGGGGGGGAAGCAAATTGAAGCATCAGTTTTTCAAGTCATAGAACTGTTATAATAACCAGTTGGATTAACAGAGTTTGGTGAGAGAATGAGCCAAAAAGAACTGACCTCTCAGCAGAGTCAATGGAGAGGCCTTGCCTATGTTATGACCTGAGAGATTTTGGAGGTACTTCTGAACTCAGTGTGGTTCCTGGATTCTCAGATATCAAGGGGAAGACAGGAGAACCTTTGCCCAGCTTAGGGTAGTGCACCAATGGCAATAATTTATGAAGACAAATCTACTCATATGGGCTGAAATCCAGCAGTGAGTCACAACTATGGTAGGCCTACTGAATCAACAGAACTTACTGAGGAATTGAATCACCAGATCCATGCTGATTCAATGGACCTATTGTGGGTGCAACTTACTACTAGATTTCAGCCATGGTTGCCTACTATGAAATGTACTTACATGAATGTTGTCTTTGACAACCATTAAAGAACTGTTCCAAGTACAAAAATGCATCTACAAATGCCTCCTCCTGAAGTGGCTGCCAGGCTTGATTCAAAGTACTTGGCATTGTTTTTAAAGTCCTAAATAACTTGATTCTAGGGTATTTAAGGGACTTTTGTGCAACTTTACCTTTTTGCTAAGGACCAACTGCATCTAGCTAGTGAAAATGAAGAAGATAGCCTTTTCCGTTTTATCAGTGAAACCATACCAAACCAAACTGAGAATACCCAGCAGGATCCAGTCCAAGGCATATTAAGATGTGAAAAAATGGACGATGCATTAAAAATCCCAACATATTCTGTCAAATTAATGTCTAGCCTTTCTCAATGTCTACTGAAAAGAAGAAAGGAACAAAACACTAGCCATACTAAGGAAGTAACGCTAAAACCACTTAAACAGCATTGATAATCATAATTGTCTTATACATGGCAACAAATTAACAAGGACTACAGAGATCTTTGACAAACTGTTTCCAATATTATTCATGTAATTTATATTTATGTATTTATTTGTTATTTGCCACTAGTGACAACTGGTGGTATAACGGGATAAACAATTACAGAGTGCTGTCCTCTGAAGATGTCGGCCACAGAGACTGGCAAAACGTTAGGAAGAACAACCTTCAGAACACGGCCAAAGAGCCCGAAAAACCCACAACAGCCATTAAATCCTGGCCGTGAAACCCTTTGCGAATACATTAAACGCCTCTACAGGGAGGAAACAGTCAGACAGACCTGGAGACTGGAAACACTCAGAAGCAAAAGAGCACACCTACTGTTACAAACAGCTATGATGTCACCTGTCCTTCAAGGTTTAGGCTGGAGTGTTAACATCCAATGGTGGTCGGAAGGCGGGACATCAGGGGGAGGAGCTGGGATATATAGGGGTGTGTATGTGTGTGAGGGTCAGATCAGGATCTGTGAGTGTTGAGATGAGATAGTGATCAGATTGTGTGGAGATATGAGTCTGTGTGAGCTAGAGCCTTTCTTTATGTGATTACCTGATTTATTTGTTATACCAATCTTAATGTACCAATCAATAAACTTTTGTTATTTTGTTTGAAATCCATTCCGGCCTGAAGATACTTATTGCAGGGGATGGTTGGTGGCAGACTACCAGAAGAGTAACAGTGGAGTGACGTAGCGACCTTCCTTTGTGAGGTAGAAGGAGGCCGTTACACCTACTATGTTCCTTAATATTTCTACTACGCTGCAGAGACACAAAAATCATACCAGCCTTCCTCAGGACAAAAAGGACCATCATTTCCCCACAGGCCAGCCACATCTACGACCGCCTGGAACATGCCCTCCTACGGGAAAGAAGCCACACAATCCGCAAAAAACTGTACTCCACAGACAACGAATTACTAGGCCTACACATCACTAGCAGCCAAAAAAATGAGAAGTCAAGATTGGGACAAGATTGATACCCTCTCTTACAAAAAGATGGAAAAAGAAATGATGAACCACACAGCCAGACAAAAACAGAAATTCAACAAATGCCAAACAAGCCAACAGAAACAACACTAGACACCACGCACATCATAAAAGAGCAGAGTGCTGACCTCTGAAGATGCTGGCCACAGAGACTGGCAAAACGTTAGGAGGAACAACCTTCAGAACACGGCCAAAGAGCCCGAAAAACGTGTTGGTTTCCCTATCATTTTCATCAGCCTTCCTCTCCCTTCCTTCTCTCTGCCTCTTCATAAACTTCACCTCTTTCATCTGTTTCTCTGCCTCTCCCTTCTATCTATCTGTCTGTCTCTTCCTGTCTATCTGCTCTTCTCTTTTCCATTCTTACTCCTCTTCCTGCTTTCTCCTTGTATTCCTCTTCCTCACCTCCATCTCTTAGCAAGATGCTGTCCCAACATCCCTGCAATGATAGGCAGCTCTCCGCTGACTGAGCACAGGAAGTAGGTGTCCTGGGACTTTCTTCTTCGAAAGGCTCATGTTATTTAATTTTCTTAAATTTCTCATTTTATGAATAGATTGTTACTGTGACAGAATTTTTAACTGATACATTGTTTTCTCCTCCTTTTTAATAGCACTTGAGAAAAGCAATAAACCAATTAGCTTAAACATGTTGGGTTTCTTTTAACAAATAAAATCCTTTCTTTCCACATTTTGAGACTCTGACTTACATTCAAGGTGTGTTCCACTATCTGGAATGGGGAATGTTTGTTTCCGAGATCTTTTGGTCCTAGCTTTTTGCAGATAATTTCACCAATAAATCAACCTAGTTTCTGTTTCACATCTGACTTAAAGACATATCTCCAGTCTTTTATGTTGAAGATTCCAGCTATGATGTAATACTTTGTGTATTTTAATGAAGACATTATTAGCTGTCTCAGATGATTCCTGGGAGGTTCAGCTCTTTGGGAGGTGCCCTCCATACAGCTTAATGGACACCAAAACTACACGTCCCAGGAAGTAGCAGGACAGCTTCCTGGTTTTTAAAAGTACAAACAGGCCAAATAAGGCACTGTTAGATATAAATGCAGCTCGTCTGTAAACCTGTGTTTCTGCTCCTAGACTTCTGCCAAGGGATCTCCTAGACTTCTGCCAAGAGAATGCCTGCAGAATTCTGGAAGCTGGAGTCCGAACAAAACAAGACAAATATTCATCCTTAACTCTTATTTTCAACATCATATTCCAACATCAAATTGTAGCAGCAGAAGATAAGGAAAGCATGGCTACCATTAGCCCTTCTGAGACAAGAGCTCCATTGAGGTTTGCCTCTTCTACAGTAGTCATCCAGCAGAGGGTGGGAAGGTAACCACAGCCACTACCAGCTATGGTTCAGTAAAACTGAAAGATTGTTTCACTGCATGCCTCATTTGACTTACCTTCTTATGGGAAAGTGCACTGATAAAACAAAATATTAAAAGGGTGCAAAGCTGCTGTAGCTATACTGTCCTCTTTCACTACTATTCATTGGGTCTGAGGAACAAGGCAATATGTAAACATGAGGTCTATGCTGTGATATGGCTTGATTGGATGTTGATGCATTGGATAGTTTAGTGATAGAATGTGAGAAAATGCCATTCCTGTTGGTGTCACATGCTTCTGAGGTTCGCTCAACAGTCGTTTGGGGCACAGAATCTACTGCGATGGCACACATTATGTGGTATATTTGCCCTTGTTCTTAGGAATGCTCTGACAATTATTATATTAGAAGCATGTTGAAAACTTGTTTATGGACTTCCTGGTTTAATTTAACCCATTTTAGGAATAACACAGATAGTGCATATTAGTATTTTATATTGCATGATTTTTATCTTTGGTACACAGCTTTGTAATCTTCATATATGTGGCTTATAAAATTTCCTATATAAATGAATGATTTCAAGATCTTGATGAAGAGGAGGGTCTAGGGCTAGGCCTTGTAGTAGATCAGTTTAAAACATAACCAGTTGCCATGTCATAACTTCCAAAAAATTAAGAAGTATTAAGTCTACAACCAGTGCAGTAATCTGAGATGTAAAATTAAAAGCCACACCCCATTTCAAAATATGAAACATCAAGTACTTACAGTAGTTCTTGTAGTAAACAGAATATAGCTTCCTATTCTAGTTCTATATCTGTAAAGATATGGAAAATCAAGGCATTACATGACTGAGGTAAATGCAACAGAAGGTTGTGTCATAATTAATCACATCAGATATACTACCCTGTTTCCCCGAAAATAAGACCTAACCTGAAAATAAGCCCTAGTATGATTTTTCAGGATGTTCGTAATATAAGCCCTACCCCAAAAATAAGCCCTAGTTAAGTGAAGCCTCGCCCTCTAAGAGTGTGCAGCATTGTGCAGCAACCAGAAGATAACGGCATGATTGTATTTGGATAAATGTAGATTGTTGTACATGAAAAAAATAAAACATCCCCTGAAAATAAGCCCTAATGTGTTTTTGGAGCAAAAATTAATATCAGACACTGTCTTATTTTCAGGGAAACATGGTATATGTACTACAAAGTGGTCTGTGATTTAAATATCTTGGTTTCTGCTGAATATGTGACTATCTTCAGGAGAGGACCTTTCAAAAATGGCAACAGTTTCATGGCCTGATAACAAGGAGGTAGGACAGGGCTTCTTCCTATGGCCTCCAGCCTGTAGAATGTCCTCCCTTTAGAGTGGTGATCAGTTTCCACCTTGCATTCAAGAAGGGTGTGAAACACATATTTTTAGACTGGCATTTAACTTGTCCTGCTGTGTTCTGTTCACTTAGCTGATTTTAATAGTTTTTATGCCCTTACCTGATTTTAACGGTTTTATGGCAGTGGGGTCTTTCTAGATCTTATATATATTTTTTTTTGTTATTATTAGGTTTAATTAGGTTTTATGTATTTTCATTCTTTATGAACATTTTTAATCATTTAAAAATTCATTAAATTAAAAACACAAACAACAATAAAGAAAAAATATAATGAAAGAAAACTTCTAAAAAACAAAACCACATAAACAATACAATGATACATAATGTGTCCCCCTACACTGGGACCACCTGGAGATATAACCAATTTCCCCTCCAATTACAGAGCCCCCTTCCAAACTTGCATTGATTCTCATGAAGGTGCACAACCTTTACGCTTTACTAACACAAAATCAATATTCTCCCCAGATGACAATGAAAATACCCTTATTTATCAACACCTTTTCTTAACATTACACATTAATGATAGGTTAACAGCTATATTCCAAACTTCTTTATAACATTTTTAATTGAAAATCATCTTTTACTATTCAATTCCTTGCTACCATTAATCTTGCTACTGTTATGAAATAACTTACTTCATTGTCCAACTCCATTACTCCTTATTAAATATTAACACTCTTCATTGTCCAACTCCATTACTCCTTATCAAATATTAACACTATTTAGACTAGAGCAAACCTCTATATTTATCTTAATTATTTTATTTGTTTCCTTAAAAATAATCCACAAAAATTTCAATATATTTTTACAACATACAGCAATTGCTTCAGCTCTACTTTGTAACTGAATATTCTGTATAATTTAAGTAAATAAAATAATCTTTGCTCTAATAATTTTGTACAGTATATGTAAAATATTCTATTGGCCACTATTTGATTCCTCACAGTATTACAGTTACTATCTCTCAGCTTTATGTATAGATAGATATCTGCTGTATTTTGGATAGCCAGTTTCCTTCGAAGTATGAATTGGACATCTATGCCAGGGGTCTCAAACTCAATTTACCTGGGGGCCGCTGAACGCAGAGTCTGGATGAGGCTGGGCCACATCAGATTTTCCGCCAAGCGGAGCAAGAACCTGAGGAAGCCGCCCAGGAGTTTCCTTAGCCTGGTTGGGGCTCCTAGGAGGAAGAAGAGGAGGGGGAAGGGCACTCGAGCCTTTGTCGCCAGCCATGACCCCCTCCAGCTCCTTCTTCATTACCACCACCAGCAGCAGCAGCAGGACGAAGAAGCAGAGAAGGGAGGGAGCGCGGGCGACCGCCTAGCGAGGGGGAGGACACGACATAAATTTTTTTTTAAAAAAAACCCTCACAGAATCTCCTTGCCAAAGGAAAAAAGCCCCCATTGGCACGCACACACACGGAGGTCCAGCAACCTTCCTCTGAGGGCCCCCCTTAAAAAAAAGGCACACTCAGCAGCAGCAGCTACCCCCTCCATGACAGAGGAGCAAACTACGAGGCGAACCCAAGCAGCCCCCAGAGCCAAGGCGGCTGAAGCAGGATGAGGAGGAAGCACCGCTGGGCGCTGAGGTGGCCGCTGGCCGGGGTGCTAAGAAAGAGAGCCAGAGAGCTGCTTCCTTGGAAGAGGCAGTGGCGGTAGCTGCTGTTGGAGGCTTGGAGGCACTCTTTGAGGATGGGCTGGGAGCGAGATCCACTCTCAGGCATCACTCAGTGGTGGCTTGGCACTCGAGGAAAAGGGCCGGCAGCGCGCCTCACTTGCCGGCTCTCCCCCAAGACAGCGCCTCTTGCACCCTCCATCTGGAACTGCAGCCTGCCAGCCGGCAGAAAAACAGGCTAGTTGGCAAGCTGTAGTTCCGGATGAAGGGTGCAAGAGGTGCTGTATTGGGAGACAGGCAGCGAGTCAAGGCTTTTTTTTTTACAACAGCAGAGGACGCTTCGGCGCTTTGGGGGCAGGCAAGGCGGGGCCCACAAACTATCATCCGGCGGGCCACAAATGGCCCCCGGGCCGCATGTTTGAGACCCCTGATCTATGCTGAAACTATTTTAAGGCTCCACTTATACATTTAACAAAATTATTTTCTTTGTACACTTGCTGCTACAGAACTTTGTACAGATCAAACCTCAATACCCTGAAGAAATAACACTCCTAGCCATGTAATTATCATCTCTATCAATTATTAGCCACAAGATGTAATTATGTTACCATAGCAAACATGCTGAAACCTCAACATGCAGATATTACACAAATTGGGAGGAAACATTTGTTGAGGGAAACCAGAACCCAAGCAGGTGGGATATTTGCCACATTCTCTCCTGCAAATAACACTCTCACTACTTCTACAGCTTCCAGTTTCAAAGCCCAGGTGGGAATACTGTACTTAAAATAATCTCAAAATCACTTGCATGAAACATTGGTAGATGGAGGTAGTGTTAAACACTGCATGTTAATTCTCTTTTGTAACTGTTGCAACAAGGAAATCCATGTCTTCCTCTCAAATTAGTGGTCTTAACCATGGGTAGAGTTTCCAAACATTGCTGATACAATCTGACCCATGGGGGGTTGAAGTGAGAAGATTCAGTTCCCAGGGATAGGTCATGGACTGAACAGGAAGAATAGAGTGGTCCGCCTAGAGTGGTCGTTTTGACCAGATAGGCGGGGTACAAATAAAATAAATAAATAAATAAATATCTTATTCTAAGCTGGCATAATGGCAGTGGGCTCATCACATAAAATAACAGCCTCTCAATACTTTAGTATTACAGGTGAAAAATAGAAAATTCAGGAATAATGGCTGCATCAGTAGAAGATAATGGCTATTTCCAGTGCAGGTGTAGAAACTCCTGAAGTGTAGGTATTGAGCAGGAATGGTAGTTGAAGATGACATTGGCAGAGGATTCTCTCACAATGGTAGTGACACTCACTAACTTTTGTCAATACTGTGAGAGGGTGGCAATGGTGAACAACTGATGAATATCTCTCACTTTGAAAACCCTATAATGAGACAATCCAAAATGAAACAAGAGATAGAGTTGAGTGATGTGACTACCAGATTGGAAAGCACTCAGTCATTTACTGGAGAAGAGTAAAGGAGAAGCAGGAATAGTGATGTCACTAATGACACAATTTTATGAAACCCAAAAGGACATCTAGCTGCTAATGTGCACAGATATGAAAAGAAAATCTGAAGCTGTGTGATACATACAATTGGAACATGTTTTATGAGAAGCATGTATCAAGGTAAATTGAAAACTGTAAAGCAAGAATGTAGCATTTAAATATTGCAGTACTTGGTGTGCCCAAACTAAAGTGGGCTAGACTGGGATATTTTCAGTCAAACTACAAAGTGTTTTACTATGGAAATTACAAACTCGGAATAAATGGGATGAATCTAATACAGTGCCAAGACAAAATGTAGCAGAGACATTTAGGGCCTTATTATGTGAAATCTGATGAAAAATCAACTCATCAACCATCAATTGTCATCATTCAAATCTGCACTTCAACTACAGATGCTGAAGATGAAATTGAAATTTTCTATACAAGTGGAAACTGATCACACACCAAGTGGAAACTGATTACACAAGACACTGATAATCACTGGCTGAAGAGTTTGTATGTTGAGAAGTAAGAAACAAAGCAGAACCAAACACTGTTGTGAGTTTGATCTAGGAGTCAGAAATTAAGTAAGAGAACGACTTTTAGAATTATATGAATCCAAGGATCTGCTTATGGCAAATACATGCTTCAGGCACTAGAACTGACAACTGTTGTATACAACTGTTAAGAGTTATGTCTGAGGAAATGGACTTGATACACAAAAGCTCACATTAAAATATAGCACTTAGTTTCTAAGGCTCCACAACGTTTTTATCTTCTTTATTTTATTTTTTAATTTTTCTTTTGCTTTTGGCCTGATATGCTAGCAGAGACTAACATGGCTACCTCTTCCAGAATCATAACCTCCATTTCCCCTCAGCTCTCCGACCCCCTTTCCGTTTGCCTTTGCCTCCAGGTCGCCAAACCACTTAGGGCCTAGAGCCCCCCCCCCCGGGGCCGGTCCCCAATAGCACTCGCCCCTCCACCCGGCCCAGCATCCGCTCAACCATAAGCACAACAACAAGGAGACGCTGGGCACAAGCGGGAACAAAGAGCCCGCCATTGGGACCGCCCAATCAACGTCTCCAAACCGCTCTTAGCAACGGAAGACCCTCTCGCGCTCCCTGCTTCCCGCTCTAGGGCAGCCAATCCACTCAGCAACTACTGTAGTCTGACGGTCCCCACCCCAGCCACCCAACCCCAGGCAGACCCATAACTACATTTCCCAAGACGCCACGCGGGCATCCCGCGAAGCCGGCCTGAAAGTAACCGCACAGCACCTTGGGAAAGGTAATTTTCTATAATGGTCATGAAGCGGTGGCCTTTTTTATTCTATGCAGATATGGAGGCGGGTCTCAGAACTACGTAAGCAAAGGATGTCAAGAAGGGACCAATAGGTGGCGGCAGCTGCAGGATGCGGCAACTGTATCTTCTGCATGAGAAGGCGGGGAAGAAATAGCCGGCGGAGCGGGGCGCGCCGCTTCCTTTTCTGCTTCTCGCATGCATCTTAAGAGCAATCGGGAAACCTTCGCCTGAGGGAGCCATGTCTGAAAGCGGCTCCTCGTTCACCGCCATCCCCAACGGCGGAGGCGCTTCCCGGCAGCCCGGCAACAAAGTGACCGTCGTCCTGGGCGCCCAGTGGGGCGACGAGGGCAAAGGAAAAGTGGTGGATCTGCTGGCGCAGGACGCGGACATCGTCTGCAGGTGCCAGGTGAGGAGCCGAGCGGGTCACCTTGAACCTCCCGGAGACGCCTTCTGGATGCCCGCGACGGAGGGGGGGGAGAGAGGGAGGGCCAGCCGGCCGGTTTCATGAACGAACTTATGTGTGGCCCTTCCCGCGTTGGTTTCTATAGTAACTGCCGCTCTCCACTTAAAAGCAGTTTATTGCCGCCTCCACGCCAGGGTTCCTCAATCGGCCGTTAATCCTGAGGCGTGTCTCTCGCCTAGCTTTCCTCCTTTGCTGGCCGCCGATTCCTCCTCGTGTTCCCTGCCCTCCTCCTCATTGTGGCTCGGCTGAGATGCGGGAAGCGGCGCACGAATCACCCTTCTCCCCGGCGGCGGAGCGTCGCGAGAAAAGGGGCCGCGGCAACCTGTGCCTTTCCCTCCCGCGACCCCTCCCTGCGAAGCCGTTGCGGCCATTTCCCGCCTGAGGAGGAGGCGGCGGCGGGGGCCGGAGAATCGCCTGGCTTACCCGCCGGCCGGCTCTCCGTAGCATTTCCCCTTCTGGGGAGCTGCCCGGAGGGAGCTTTCCCTCAGGCGAGAGGCAGGAAGACCTTGTAGGGCAGACAAGTGGGTGGGGAAGGGAAATGGTGGCTGGCGAGGCCTTTCCTGTCCTCTGTTCCTGTGGCCTCTCTGCCCTCATTTCAGGGGCGGGAGAAGGACCAACATCTCTTCCTCAGGTGTTCAGTCCCTCTTGGACACCCTCAGAATACCAGGGAGAATGGTATTTTTTGTGTGTGTGTGTGTGTGTTTTCAAAAAAGTGCAAGCACCTGTGTGATCTGGAGTGTTCTCACGTGGTGTATAAAATGTCGCATGAAGAAATCTCCGTCTGTTTTTTGTTGTTCTTTTACTACACCTATGCTGTACACCGATGGTGATTTATGAATTGTACCTTCCAGCTTTAGTTAAAAGTATTAAACTATTTGTTTTTTGTGGAGAGATTTTTCCTGGAAATGAAGGTAAATAGGCTGGCCCTATAGTAAAAAGCAGAATTGCTTCCAAAGACTATGATGTGCATTCCTAAATTCTTCCTTAACATGCAAAAGAAATGTGATTTTTATTTAACAAATGCAGCCTCTCCTATTGTATCTGGGTGGTGTTCCAGAAAATGTTCTAGTTTTCAGGTGTGGGGGTAAGAACACAGAAAAGGTGATTTTGACAAAAGTATGCCCAGCTGCTTGAATCTTTGTGTAAGGGAAGTATTCTGTATGACTCAAACAATCCAGTACTGTATTGGAGAAACATTCTTACTCATAGTAACCTAGACTTCTCATAAAATAGTAAAAAAGTTTCTGTTGAATAGAAAAAATGCAGCAGTAGTGACTTTGTATCAGAAAAAGGAATAGAGGAAGCCCACAAATTAGATGGATGGATGATTTTAGAAGATCGGTGGGACTAGAATTTTAAGAATGGGGATCGAGGCTCAAGTCCATAGCAAAACCATAGTTTGTTCTTGGTTGTTTAAATGGAAAACCAACATTACATGTCAATAACTGGTTGAGAACACCCAGTTCCCCCCCTTTTTTCTTGCTTAAGTCATGTAGGTTTAAGTCATTGCTAATGTTACTCTGTAAAGATCTTTTGCTTTCAGGAATTATGGCTCTTTTTCTATTAGATATTACTAGTGCTAGAAGCAGTTACGTACTGGGAAGATCTGTTCAAATACTGCTTGTGTCCTTGCAGCCACCATTGAAGGCAGAGGAGAGTTTGTGCAATATTGTCAAGTTGGTAAAGTATGAAGTTGCTTAAAGTCAGCGTGCAATATACATTGTAGACTCCAAAGTTACACAGGTGGTAAGCATCTCATACAATAGATCCTTTCTAAAGCCTGCTTATCCTGTGTGCCTTGAAACATTCTCTAGGACCAGAAAATGGTAGGCTGCTCAAAATCACGCAGACTTCTTGTGTGATATTTATTCAAATCTGTATTCTAAACTATTAAATCACGTAATTCCTGATCCTTTTATTTTTATAACTCCTAAATGATATAAATTTGTGTAGGCATCCTTCAGTCTTGAGAGACTATGGTAACATGCTCTGAATAGAGGTCTTGGAACTGCATCTAGTGTGGCTGAGAAGGCCAATTCGAGAGTGACAAATCCTTCCATGTTTTTAAATATACTCTCTCAAACACTAGAACCTTAAAAAGTGAACATTGAGAAATATTAGCTGTTCCTCTGCAACTCCACTTTCTCAGAGGAGTGAATGCCATGCTATAGGTTTAGTGACAAAGAGTTTTTTTAGGAATAGAACCTAACCCTTTCGCTAACCACATTCTCCTAGAATGAGCCATGTGTTGCAGCCTCTCTACCAATCTCTGTTACCAGTATGCAGTGTAAGACTTCTTGTGCTGATTAGCTTTTCAGCTGCTCAGTTGCATAAGATATCCCAATCTTTCTTTTTAAAGGTAATTGTTTTGTAAGTCTAACACATCGTATAATAAAGCTGTTGTCTGTGGTAACTGATAATGGCATAGTTGAACCTTTGCTTGTATCTGCATAGTCTAAGGATTTCCATCAATGTTGTTATGTGCTATCAAATTGTTTCTGACTTGTGGCAACACTATGAATTAGTGACTTCAAAAAGGTGCTATTATTAACAGTCATGCTTCAGTCTTGCAAACGCAAGGCCAGGGATTCATTTACTGAATAAGTTAATTTCATGGTTGGTCATTTTTTCCTTCTGCTTTCCACTTTTGCCACCATTATAGTTTTTCCAGTGAGTGTTTTCTTTTTATAATACAGTGGTGCCTCGCATTACGATGTTAATTCGTTCCAGCGAAATCTCTGTAGAAAACGTTGTAATGCAAAAATAAAAAGCCCATTGAAACACATTGAAACCCCTTCATTGCGTTCCAGTGGGTTGGAAACTCACTGTCCAGCGAAGATCCTCCATAGGGCAGCCATTTTCGGTGCCTGTGCAGTGAGCTATCTGTCCCAGAAAACAGCGGGGAGCCATTTTATTTACCTGGCAGCCATTTTGAAACTGCTGATCAGCTGGAGGAAAATCATCATTTTGCGAAGAATCGGTTCCCAAAGCAGGGAACCGATCATCACAAAGCGAAAAAACCCCATTCAGACCATCGTTTTGCGATCGCAATTGTGATCGCAAAAAGATCATCATAATGCGGTTTCGTCATAATGTGGGGCAATTGTAAACTGAGGCACCACTGTATGTGTATAGTTCAACACCCTCAGTTTAGTCATTTTTTATTCTAGAAATTTAGTCATTTTTTATTCTAGAGAGAGTTTAGTCATGACTTCAACCAAAACCCCTTTTGTAGCAGTTCATGTTTATGAAGCTCTGCTACATCATTACATTTTTAATGATTTGGGTTTTTCTATCAGATTTCCTCACTGTCCAGATTTTAGATCTGTATGGAGCAATTGGGTTGTGTTGGTATCATAAGAATATTTTCTGGTTCCTTTTCTAGCTCCTTTATAGCTATCCTTCCAAGTCTCAATCTTCTTCTGATTTCTTGACTCCATTGGCCATTTGGATTGATGATTGAACCAAGGTAGAGAAGATCTTTAACTGTTGGATTTCTTTGTCAGCATTTACAATTCAGATTTTTTTCTGTAGTCATTTCTGTTTTTTAAGCTTTAGTTTTAAGCTTTTGTGCTTCCTTCTGTTACCTTCCTCAGTAGTTGCTTTAAATCACCACTGCTTTCTCTCAGTAATGCAGTGCCATCTGCATCACTTAAATCATTGCTGTTCCTTCCATTAATTTTATTCATCAGAATCAAAGCCAGCTTTTTGTATATGTTCTGAATATTTATTGAGCAGTCAGATAAGAAGATAAAATGCATGGTTGTTTGACACCTTTGTTCATGGAAAACCATCCTGTTTCTTCACGTTATGTTTCTACGGTAGTTTTTTGCCCAGAGTAAAGGTTACAAATCAGACCCTGTGACATACCTGTTTTTTATCAGTCAATCCATAGCATTTCATGAACCACACAGTCAAAGGTTTTCTGTAACATACTTCAGAATTTTTTTGAGTCACCATATTGTTTGCAAAATGATCTCGAGTTCTTCATCCTTTTCTGATCCAACCAGAACATCTTACATTTCTAGGTTCATATATGGTAAAAGGTTTTGTTGCAAAATCTTTATCATCATTTGTATGGGAAATTAATGCTATAGTTACTGCATTTTTGCCATCTAACTTCGGATTGGAATATGTATTGAATGTATCTTACCTATTGTATCTGACATGGGCACACATCTGAAACATGAAGACATAAGACATAAGACATAAGAAATTTATTTGTCATTGCGCTCACAAGTGGGTGCAACGAAATGAGGTGCTCTTCCCCAAGGTAAAACTGGACAACACTACAAAAAAAAAAATTAAAATATACACAACTTTCACCATCCAAATATAGATACCCCGTTTTCTCTCAGCAATTAAAAAGTCCACCAAAAACTTATGGCCCCGCATTTAACCTCAATACTGCACTTGGGTAAAAACTGTTCTTGAATCTGCTCGTCCTTGCTTTCAATACCCTGAATCTCCTTCCTGATGGTAATAGTTTAAAGAGCTGATATCCCGGATGAGAGGAGTCTTTCAGTATGTTAGATATCTTCCTCTTACATCTGTTCTTATACAATTCTTCCAAAGAGGGGAGTGAACAGCCAATGATGTTTTGGGCCGTCTTGATCACCCCTTGAATTGCCTTTTTCTCTGCCACTGTGCAGCTCGTGTAGTCTGTCCCAGAAACTATTATTTCATTAGATGTGTAAGCAACTCTGTAGTGCTAGCTTAAGCTTTAATTCTGTGCACCCTTTTTTGGAAGTAAGCCCCACTGAACAGAACAAGACTCAATTCCTGATAAGCATTCATAGCGTTGTGCTGGTAAGCTTTACAACATGCCATCATAGAAATAGATTTTCCATTGAAAAGTATTAATTTGTTATATTATTATCAAATTATTACTTTGGCATGGGTTTACTGAACAGCTCTGTATGTTGACTACTGAGGATATTTTA